CACAAAAAGAAATAAAATATATTGACCTGACACCCAGCATGTCATGCAGATAAGCTGGAGTATGAAGAAGTCAAACAAAGGAGTTCCCAAAACATCAGAAAGTTCAAAAGAACGTTTGAATAATGCATGAAACACAAGAATATGCATGTATCTTATTGATGTAACTGTATAAAGATAACATTGTCTGTATGCCCCCCCTCCAGCACTGGAAATATTGTCCTTTTTTATCCTAATACTATTGCTATCATTATTATTATTATCATTAAACTTTTAAAAACTGTAAGCAGTGATTTCTGTTTTTCACATTCTTTGTAAGCAATTTTATAATCACAGGAATTATTTCTACAGGAAGCTTATGCAGTTTAGCAACCCAGAAGTGAATTTGTGCCTTTCTGTGAGGTTCATGTCCTCTAGAGTCAGTGGGAAAATACCCTTTATGACCTCTCTGAAGCATTTTTCTTTTATTTAAGATCTATTCACGGAGGGATCTGTGTTTTGTGGGCAGGCCCTCCTCGGCCCACACCCTTTTCAGTAGGATTCCCTGCTATCTTTGAGCAGTCCCTGACCTTGCTGGCCAGCTCCCGTTATCTGCGCAGCCCCAGCCCGGGCTCGGGCCCGTCCCACACGTTCCCGTGGCACGGTGAGCCCCTGGCCAATGCCCCCCCTCGATGGGGCCCAGCTGTGACCCCCAAAGCTCCCACTCGGAGCAGGCCCTGCCAAGGAGCTGCCTCACGCCCACCCGGCAGAGGAGAGGGAAGGGAGAGGCTGAGCGGTATCTCAGCAGAACACCGGGGAATGACACTGATAATGCCACAGTGGCTCACCCTGGGAAACAGCCTTGCATCAACCAGCGCTCTGGGCTCTCCACACCCAGCTGACAGCACTTCTGGGACACCTGAACCATGAGAGACAGCTCCAGAAACACTGTGTGCCTCAGGCACATGGACACGGCTGCAGGAACTCAACTGCTGCTGGCCACACCAATCCTGCCAGAAGCCCTTGCCTGAAATGGTCAAGGATTAACTTTCACCAGAGTTGTGCACACAAGAAGGCAAGCCTTCCTCCTTCGTACGTAGGTGCGCCTGAGGAGGATGTGGATGTGAGCCACACACAGTCTGCTCAAAAGAGGTCTTTTGAAATGTTACATTTTTCTTCTTCCAAAGTAAAACAAAACATAAGACTTTTCAGTTATACAATTAACACAGACATTACACACCAATTTGTATTTCTTAAATGAGGTATTATACGCCCTGTATGGAAATACATACAATATACTTATGGTCTGGAACATATAACTTTGTCATTCCAGAAAGGTTGCCATGAATGTTTTGCTATGTTTAAATGTTTTTTCCTGATGTTCTCTATTTAAACTTTTCCTTTAACATAAATCAAAGATTTCAAAAGTTTTTGGTTCAAAGTTTCATCAACACTGACATTGGGAATCTTTTAAGCTCAGTGTATCTGTAAGTACTTATGGAATCTAGTTCCACATGAAATTTCTGATCCACCATTCCTGGTCTATACAAGCTTTCCAACTTGGAACACCATAAAAACATTTTCCAAATGTGTTGTGATCATGGTTGCATTCTTAACCTGTTACCTTGTAACAGTTACAACCTCTGAAAGAACAAAAACCAGAATTCCAGATTCACTGTAACTTTGTGAACTCTGCTCACCACAGGGCTATAGTAAGGATTTGTACCGCACTGAGCCTACTACAGAGTGTAACATTTGATGGGTGCACAGATTTACAATGATGCATTCACTGCTTGTTTCTTCACCTCACAGGAGTTCTGCCTGGTTCAGTTCTGTCTCATATACAAATAGCCACGTTATTCTTTTCCAACTCCTTTGAGATACCTCACCCAAATGGAACACCTCGAGCAGCATACTTGTCAAAGAGTGCACAGTGCCAGAAACCAAACAACAGAAACGCTGTATTATCAAAACTAGTTATCACACTATTTGTTGGATTAACAAGGTCTAGGTAAGAAAAACATCAGTGAGGTTGTGGCTGTTCAAAACACAGATGTCTGGAAAATATGCCCTTGCCAAAAATTCTGTGATACATTGCAGTTCTTCAGCTGCCAATATCCAAGGCTTTTTGACAACATTTTGATTAGTGCAGTACCCACTGTAAACAGCCCCACACTATAAAAACACCTCAGCCATAATTCATCAGCTAAATAGAATAATAAATGACTGGTTCTGCACATGTCAAACAAACACCTTAATATAGAGTAATTAAAAAAAGCAATCACAGCACAACTCTTAACACGGATCTGTCTTAATCTATTTTTAACATCTGTCAAGCATCTGACCCTATCAGACTGAGCAATTCATGAAGCCTGGGAATCGTCTATTACTACCAAGTGACCAGACCTTTTTCTCAAGAATGGAGGAACTTTTTATCTAATGAGTACTAGACCATGCAATAAACATTTAGAATTAACAAATTTGTGTTTCAGGATACCTAGTATCACTTACACACTCTTTAGAGAAGGAAGCCTGCTTTTGTACAATTTTTGCAATTTTGTCTTAATGAGACTTGGTGGAAATAGTAGCAGAGTGCAGTTTCAGAAACAGTGAGCAGAATTATACATGCAACATGTTTAGAAAAACCCAAATCTATCAGGATAAACAAAAATGGCTCTTCTTTAGCAGAAGAAAATAACAAATCCCATTTCCTGGTCAATAGCAGGATAAATCACTATATCCATGTAGTGCATAAATCACTATATCTATGTAGTGCCTTGGTAATGAAACTAACTTGCTCTTCTTCCTATATTAGACTTTTATGATTCACATCTATTTGCCCACAGGAGAAAAAAAGCAGAAAAATAATGTTCGAAGTCCAAACACCCCGATCCCTCACTTACCCTCGAGGTCTTTGTGGATGTTGTGGGGTAGGCTGGTCCTGGGCTGGGCTTCCCTGCTGGAGACAAAGGAGGCTGAATTTGTGCGCGTTGTTTGGAGCTGCAAGCCAGCCCGACGGCTTCGCTGGTGTCTGGAGTGTGACCTCGGGATAGGGAGTCTGATCACTGAACAGTTTGACTTTTAAGAGAGACGATTTCATTACATGCAGCAGATGGCCCTTCCTGGGAAAACCTCTGCCAGACAGGGAGTTGGCAGTGAGAAGAGGGCACATCCTACTTCCATAGAAGTCGGTAGGAATTTCCTAATGGCCTCGAGACAGAGGAAGTGTTGGCCTTAGCTTTTCATAACAAAGCACCGGATTGTTTTTTTAAGCACGTGCCTAACTGCTCTCCTAGACCCATTGGGAATTTCTTGCGGGAAGTTAAGCACTGCTGGGCATGAGAAAATCCACAGTGCCTACCTAACAAGCAGGCTGAGGAAATCAAAGGTGAACGGTGAACTTTTCATAATCTCTACACAGAAATTCACCTAATGATTCTCATCCCTCAAAGGCAAATAAGCAAATCCTGTAGTAAGAAACTATTTCCACTCTTGGTACCCAAGACACAAGTCTCACACAGGGCAAATTGGAATGAATTGCACAAACTGCCCTGAGCTCAAGGGATCTGGAAGAGGCTGAAAACCAACTTTTTGTGCCAAGTTTTTTCTTAAGCATTTTGAAGGACATGCAGCTAAAATTGGTTACAAGATACTACTGTGCTAAATATTTCTTGCTCCCAGTGTTATCTATACAGATAGGAAACAGGTCTTCAGCAGTAAATACAGCACTTCCAGCCACAGTCATCCAGAAATAGCAATAAGGATATTGAGAGCCTAACAGTCAAAATAACTCCCACAGAAATGAGAGGCAGCCACATTCAAATCGGAACAGTTTGGGTTGGAAGGCACCTTTAAGGGTTGTATAGTCCTACACCAACATGGGCAGAAACACCTTCCGCCACACCAAGTTGCTCCAAGCCCTGTCCAACCTGATCCTGAACACTTCTAATGATGGGGCATCTACCACCTCTCTGAGCTACCTGAATGCTTGATCACAGATTAAAAATGTTCGTGAAATTACCTCCTTAGACACTTTGAGTCCACTTTGAGCAAGCTGCAATACCAGAGTGTAGGGGGAAACAGTATGGGTAAATGAAGGTGGTATAGAATGCAATCCTATCCCCTAAAGAGTTGCAGCTGGGTTAATTACTAAAGATTAGGAGCAGGCCTGATGCTAACAGGCCACACCTGTAGCCAATAAGGTTATAAAAGAGTGGATTAGTGGGAGCTGTAGTTAGTTGGCTGCTACAAGGACAATGAAGAGTCAGTGCCTAGAGGAGTTGCCTACAAGTAACATCAAGGAGGCATGAATCTCTGGCAATATGCAACCCTTGCAATGTAATAATAAAACCTTTGTACTATAATGACAACAGAGAGGTGAGAATTCACCTCAGATCATCTGTCCATTTGCAGGGATGACCATCACTCATGGGAACATCTCCTTGGGAGGCTCTTCCCGAGCAGCCCCTTTTCTCCCTCGCTAAGGACGCAAGGTGCCTTACACTGCGTGCTTCGACAGTGGCACCAGGCTGGGGAAAGTTGTGACAACGACAAGAGAGGAGTTGTGATGATGGTTGTACTGGCTGCAGTTGGATAAATCTGCTTCTCCTCAAAGCGAGACCCCTGCCTGCAGTGTTCTGGGGGCTTTATCTGGTTTATGCCCCAGGCCCGATTCTAAAGCCACGCTCGGCCTTCTCAGCACCAGCTGGGGACCCTGCAGGATGTCCCGCCCTCGAAGTCGGATACTCTACACTCACATTTCAACATGGGTACAACCGTACCCGGTCTGTTTCCTCTCGGTGTCCGACGGGACGTACTCGGGGCACGGTGCCCCCCTCAGGGCCGGGCTCCCTCAGGGCGCGGTGCCCCCCTCAGGGCCGCGCTCCCTCAGGGCGCGGTGCTCCCTCAGGGCGCGGTGCCCGCTCTCCCCTCAGCCGGATCCCGCTCACCGCCCCGTCCCGCGCTGCCCGCACTCCCCACGCGGCGCTTCCTTCCGGGCGGCAGCACCGCCCCGGCGAGCAGCCATGGAGCGCGGCGCGGCGGGGCCGCTGCCCCTCAGCCGCCTGGCCGGGCCGCTGCTCCGCAGGCTCAGCGAGCTGCTGGACCGCGCGGCGCCCGGCAAGGGCTGGCGGGAGCTGGCGCAGCGCGCGGGGAGCCGCGGCACGGTGCGGCTGAGGTGAGCGCGGGCGGCGGGGCGCGGGCGGCTGGGCGCGTTTGTCTCGCTAATCCCCTAAAACACTGAAAGTCCGCTTGGTAAGTGACGGTATCACCACATACTGAAGGTATCTCGCCCCCAGGCTTGCGTGGCACTGTGATTTAAGGAAGGAAACGTTGATGAATCTTTTTAGTGGACATACGTAACCTTGTATTCTCTTTAGGTAGCTGTCATTATTTCTTTATTTGTGTTGATTGAATCGGCTGTGATTGAAAGTGCGTGATGACAACGACACCAAAGTTGAATCTATAAAGTTCAGACACAGTTAAGTGCACTGTACAGTCGGTGTGTTAGGCTGGGCTCCAGCAGCCTCTTGTTTACAACAACTTTAAAATCAGTCTTCCTGTTCTTTGAAGTTAAGAGTCTGACTCACTCTCTACGGCTTCTGAATTAGGCTCATGGAAATGAAAGGTGCTGTACTACTTTTTCTGCTGACACTTTGAAAGTGAAAAATAGAAGTACATTTGCTGAGAATTGTGAGGTACATGCATCTCTTTTACCATCGAGCTCACTAATACCAGTTTCTGTCTGTGGAGGTGTCACTGAATAACCTCTGAACTCCTGAAACTTGAAGGAAATGCTGCAAATATGTCCAAATCAGCTAGGAATTTCCCATCTCTATTTTTAAAAATATTTTTATTTATCTATAAGTGATTGTTTACCCAGGTCCTCTCTGAGGAAAAAGTATTGAGAAGGTGTGTGCCGTGTCTCTCTCCCATTATTCCACAGCCCTCTGGACTTGGAGCAGTGCTCCCTGCAGGTGCTGGAGCCAGAAGGCAGTCCCAGCTGGAGTCTCCTGAAGCTGCTGGGGGATCGGGGCTGCACTGTGGTGGAGCTGGCGGAGTCCCTGCAGGCCCTGGAGCACACAGAGGCTCTCCGGTGTCTCAGCCATTCAGGTCAGTTCTGAGCTGTGCTCTCACTGCAGCCCTGGATTTTAGACTGGCAACACTCAAGGTAGCCCTCTACAGTAACCAAAAACATCTTTAGTGCTTGCATTCTGGTGGTTGGGATGCAGATGATTACTGAGGTTATTGGTTGATCTGATTCTGAGGTTAAATGTGAGCCTAGCTTTCACGCAGTGTTGTTGCAGACTTGGACTTGGCTGGGTGTTGTCATTCAGTTTGCTGACTGGGGTTTGGTGTCCAGTGGATGTGGTCTTGGGACCATTCTGTAGCAAGATCTGGAATGGTTTAGGTTGAGAAAATAGCTGCTTCATATCAGAGTGGTGTCAGAGTTGCTCTCCTGGCAGTTAAGCTTTGCAGTAGAAAATTTGACCTGATTCCCTCAGGCTGGGCCTTAATCTGAACAGCTTAAAGAAATTGTTGGGAGTGAGCAAACATTTAAAACTGAGAATATCTTTCCAAAAAGGGGTCTGTGATACCATGAGACACATCATTTCCTTTAAAATTAAAATGCATTTATGATATGCTTTAAATCTTTTATGAGCTTCATCGAGTACTGATCAATTTGACCATGGGTTTTGTGTAGTGGAAGACAATTTTGAATGTCCTAAAGTAATTTAACTAATTGGAGCTGTGTGTATACACAGTACAAATGAATTATTTTCAGGTATATTTAATGGCAAAAATGTTCTGTGCTCCAAGGGCAATTTAAATGCAAATATAAATTATGGGCTTGTATTTCTTCATAACTTTCCTATGTGTAAATTGTGTCTTAAAGGTGTAAAGATCGTTGTACAGCCAGACTCTCAAGCAGTGCTCTCTGGCCAGGTTGTCAAGCTGTGCTGCTGGGCAACAGGACACCCATTTGTGCAATACCAGTGGTTCAAGCAGGAAAGAGAGGTAAGAGTTCATAGAGAATGCAGCGTTTTTAAATCGTGAAAATAAAACATAATTATTTTGGATTGTCCTTTTTTTAAGACTCTTATTCACAATGAGAGAAGATTGCTGTAAATATTCATAAAACTCATAAAGTTTAAGAAATGCTGGATGATCCTACAAATGTGCTAAAACAAAACTGCGATTCCTTGTGTTCACACCACTTCATTCCTGGGGGCTGTGAATGTGGAATGGGGCAGAAAGGAAGCTGTAAGTTCAGTTGTCTCAGCCTACCAGTAAGTGAAGCAGTTGAAGATGGTGTTAAGGACTTGGAAATAAATATTATAATGCTTGATCCTGGTTAAGATTAAACCGATTGAAATTGAAGGACTTTTGGTTCACCTGTGATGCAGGTTCCCCATGGTAATTCTCCAGAACTGGTTTTGAGTCCCGTGAGTGTAAAGGATTCTGGCTTTTACATCTGCCGCGTGAACAGTGAATCTTCTTTCATGTTCAGTCGGTGGGCGCGCCTTGAAGTTTGTGAGCCTCAGGATCTGCCTTGCGGTGAGTGGCACAAGCACCTTCTCAAAGTGCCTTCCTGCTTCCTCCAGGCACTTGGGTCCCTGTGGCTGTGCTTAGATTGTCTCACACTTCCTTTTCTTGGTACTTCCTTTTCCTTTTTTTAAGGGCTCTTAACAGGTTTGCCTGAAAACAAGTTGTGCATTTGTAATCAGCCTCAGCCACAAAACCTGACAGTGGGGGATGCTTTGGTACTAGAATGTGGAGCTGTTGGAAACCCAATTCCTCATTACCAATGGTTCAGAAATGGATTTCCTTTGGCAAATGGGAGCAAAAATGTCTACACGGTAAGTTACTGCAGTGGGTCACACTTGGGAGCGAATGTTAACCACTTTGAGCTTACCACAGAAAGTTCCCTTGAAGAAAATAATTTCTCCAGAACCTTGGTAACTTCTGATGAAGTGCTGCTTTTAGTTTTTTAACTCTTTTTTGCCTGTGGGGCTTAGATGCAAGGCTTAAATACCTGATGCAGGTATTTTTTGGAGGTCTTTTGGGATGATTGTGGTGATGCTTGCATAGGTAACATATGTGGATGTGGGACATCAAGGAACGTACTGGTGTCATGTGTTCAATGACTGGGAGGACGAAGACAGCAAGAAAGTACAAGTCACTATAGGTAAGTTCTTCTGTTTCATGCAGGTCAGCTCCTTTGTCCATTTCTTCCACATCACTAAAATTTATTTTTGAAGCTTTCAGTATTCAGACAAGTACATGCCTTCTATATTTTTAGTTTATCCATTTGTTAAAACACCTGTGCTTGCATCCAGCAAATGGCATTTTAGAGTTTTGGGGTTTTATGGTAATCAGCACACAACTGCTGTCCCTTTTTGGCCCTGCCAGCATGTATGTGGCTTGTTAGCAAATTGCTAGCTGATTTATGCTTTTTGACAACTCAAAACCACTTTAACCTTTGCTGGGGATATGAACTCTGTTACATGGAGTCCTTCAGCAATCAGAGGTTAGACTGATTGTTCATTTCAAGTAGAATGGATGAATGATTGTTCATTTCAAGTAGAATGAATCAATTTCAGTGCTGTGTGTTTGCAGTGAACTGAAGAGGACTTCCTCACCTAAGCAATACCCTAGTGTAGTACTCCTGGGTTTCAGGAATCATTACTGTACAGTGTTATGGCCAATGCAGATTTACACTGCTGTAAAGTGAGCCACATTGCACAGCAGCTTGACAGTGCCCTTTGTCTTCCACCTCGTGTGCTAACTCTCATAACTGAGAGCTCATCTTCCAATTTTTTCCCCTCCTTAAAACACAAGGAAGGAAAGCTGTAGCAGTGGAGTGCACAGAAGGTAAGGTAAACCTCTAATTGTAGTTTTAAAAATTGGTGATGGGAGTGACAGGTTGTTGAGTGTGTTGCTGAAAGGCATATGTGGGTTTTCAGGCAAACCTGGGTTTAAAACATTGATGGATGATGCAACAGTCCTCCTGCATGTGCTTGTCTCTTCTTTGCCTGGACACCATGATCTAGATCTCACAGGAGAAAAATCAGGCTACTTCCTTCTTTTGTGGTATTCGAGTGATCTGGAGATTTCTTTGGTGAGGCTCAGGAGGCAACATCCTAGCAAGAAAATCTGGAGATGTTCAGGAACGTGGGTGATCTTGGAGAGCTGGCTAGAGCTAGTTCCACTGCCAGCTCCATGTCTGCAGAAGTGATTGTAGCAACTTCCTTAGGATGATTTTTATTCTCCTTTGCATTGTTGCAACAGGGAGGAGAAGTGTCTTGTGACTGAAATGTTGGTGCCATCCCTCCCTGCTGAGCATCTCAGAGTCTGCAGCATCTGCAGCACAGGGGATTGGGTACAGTGGCACAAGGCTGCTCCCAGAGAGCACTGCTGCTTCAGAGATGTTCATTTTCTTTTCCCTGCTTTCCAGTGTTCTCAGAATAAAGAGGTGAAACCCCTGGTAACTTAGGATGTTTGAAGATTGTGTCTGAAGTCTTTCTGAATACACATGGCTTCCCAAAATCAGATTTTTTGCTCAGGATGTTGCTTTTTTTTCAGCCCTTCAAGCATCTGTTCTTCAGATTCTGATACCTTGTTCCTTTTTCCCTCAACCTACTTGCATGCCTGTGGAATTGAGGTGTCCTAACTGTCCTCCCCTTTGTTTTTACATTTACTGTACTGCAATGCTGTGTCTAGTACAGCTTAATGTATTGCTGTAGGATTTTCTCTTCTCTGTGTGGAATAAACACAAAAGGTTTGATTTGCACAAATGCAAAGTCAAAAGTATTTCAGATATGTAGTTTGTTTTCTGTGTTCAGCTTTGTTTAATAATGGCATGGCACTTATGTTTTTACTAATAAAATGGGGTTTCTGCTTCTTGTTTAAACTATTATTTTATTGGTGTTTTCCTTCACAGAAGATTTAAGTGATCTTCAGGAATCAGGTAAGTGATAAGTTTTGAAAAACTTTAACTTGGCATCTTCATTTTATATTACACTGAAGGCTTGCTGGGTTGCAGTATGAACTTTACAGTATTTGGATGTACCTGTAACTGAGAATTGAATAGCAGCTGGTATCACCTTAACAGCAGCACAGCTTTCTAGTTCCAAGAGATTGAACTTGAAGCATATAGAGAATCATAGGGGTGCTGTTTGTAAAAGAGCCCAAGGCTGCACATATACATACACAGATACAAAGGGAATTATCTTTCTTGTCTGGGGTTTCTTGGGGCTCCCAGTTTTAGCACATTGCTACTTTCTCAGATAATTAAAGTGAAAGAGATCTGAGGTGTCTGGCTATCACTCATGTTGAGTGGCATATTTCTTCCAGTCATGTTGGAGTCAGCCAATGGGATCTGAAGCCTGTTAGGTGGTTAGTGTAGAAGTGTAGCTCCAGAGGGGATTATCCCTCATACAGTTTTCCCAAAACCTCAGCTCCCAAAGATAGTTTCCTGGGTTAGATATCAAATATGTTTATGTTTGCCCAGCCTCAGTTTCAAGCACTGAAGGGCTTCTCTGTCATACGGTGTCGTGTTATCCAGGTGAGCCACTTCAGCACACTGCTTACTGTTTCTCTTGGCACAGCACTGGCTTTGCCACCCCTCTGTGAAGTACAGAATAAAAGAATTTTCACACTCAGATGGGAATTCCTGCTAAGCATCTCCCACCTGGCATGTTGCATTTTGTTTGGAAAGGATGAACTGGTCAAATGTCACTGAAAATGCCAATGTGCAGTTTGTGCGATTCAGCATCTATTCTTTCTTAATCTATAAAATTAGCTATTCACATCCAGTCAGGATTGTTTGCTGGAAGAGGCTGTGAAGGAAATCATCTAAACAAAAACAACAATACCAACAAAAGACCCCCAAACTCCACCAAAAACAGAGTGCTTTTTCCTGCATTGAACTAGCGAAGTGTTAGAGAAAGCAGTGCTACTAGACTGTGGCTGTGGGGAAGATGCAGTTCATTTTCTGTAGTCACTGACACGCTGCTCTTCTATTTCAAACAGACCCACAAGAAGAATCAAGTCACAGACCTGTGGGTAAGTAGTTTTGTACTGAAATGACTGTATGCATTTGACATCTAGGATGCAGATTTTGCTGCTACTGATACTGCCAGTGCAAGACCCATGGGGCAAATAGAGAGCTCCAGGGAGGGAGATCTGTGGATATTTGTGTAGTCCTTTTAGAATGCTCGTTTGCCTTTTCAGGAGTAAACTGCCAAGGGCACCAGTGCTGTTAGTGACCCTGTGAAGCGTTTGCAGCTTCTCATAGGGGCTGTTTGAGCTTACTGCTTCAGATTGCTGTGCCAGGCCTTAGCCAGTGCGTTCCTGCATTCCTTTGAACCCTTGGAGCCAGTGCTATTGGGATGATGTGATAGAAAGCATGCTATCCTGTCTGCTGAGGAAATGCTGTCCTTGCAGCCCTCCCCATTCCGTCCTGTGGGTGCCTTGGTGCTGAACTAAAGCTCATAATGAGATCGATAGCACATGTCATATGACGAATAGTTGCGGGGTTTTTAAATCACATTCTTAAATTTGCACTGTAGACTTGAGTGGTCCGGCATGTTGTCCTGTTGATACTTAACCAGATGGGAAGGCTGCTGGCCTCTGTCAGAATTTTATGGCTCTTTCAGGTTCATTAGTGTGAGGGGGAATGCAAGTGTTCCCCTCTCACGCACGTGATTTTTTTCCTGCAGGCTGAAAAGAGAGTTGAGCTGTGTTGTTGATATGGGATGACTTGTAAAATCAAATAAAATATTGTGCCTGAAGTGAGATTGATACCCTTTTCACTTTGGAAAACTTTAAATTTAAAGGTGTTGAATCCATGGAATATATAAATGTGACTTTTTTTTTTTCTCTCTCTGTGTCTTGGCAGCCACAGACAAGGTGGCTCTGTTAATAGGAAACATGAGCTACTGGAATCATCCCCAGCTCAAGGCTCCAATGGTAGATGTCTATGAATTGACCAGTTTGCTAAGGCAGCTGGATTTCAAAGTTGTATCTTTGCTGGATCTTACTGAGTCTGAGATGCGAAACGCAGTGGATGAATTTTTACTTCTCCTGGACGAAGGAGTTTATGGTAAGGACACGTGCATCCCTTCTGAAGTAGGTCCATTTTGTATGTATCAAGTAGCAAACATCTGGTATTTGCCTCAGCTAAACAACCTTCAGGGTTAATATCATGTATGTAGAACGGGAAGAATAAGCTAAAGGCACCCACCAGCATATCCTCTGACTTTTGTTAAAATGCTATTGTTCTTTTACTTTAACAACAGGTCAGATGTTTGAACTTCATTCTTTAACCGCACCTAAAACTGCACTGCAGGCTTTTATTTTGTTTGATAGTAGTTTGCTTGCTTAGATTTGATTTTGGGCCGCAAAGCACAAGACAGAAGTGGGGGAGAGCATGATGGAATTGATGTATGGAGCAAAAGCCTTGCATGGAAAAGGCCAAGAGTGATCTGGTTTGGAGTGTAAGAAAAGTGCTTACGTTTTCTGCTGACTGCCATTATTTTGTCATTTTTCTAAGATTGTATTTGCTAAGATTGTACAGAAAACTCCCGAAATTATTTAGGACAGAGAGCAAAATATTTTCCCAGGTCTCTATTTTTGGATTGCAGAATTCCTGTAGTAAAAATCCATTTGAGAAAACATTATTTGATCCTTTTTTGGAACACAAGGTCAGCTTATTTCTTAGCATGACTTTTTTTACGGATGTGTTACCTGATGCTCTCTCTGTGCAGAACTGCCTGCTCTGACATTTGGGCATTTCTATCTGAGCCAAAACCTGCCTGACACGAAGCCTCAGTCTGGCAGGAACATGAGGCTTTTGAGAGCAGTTTGCTTTTATTATTCTCTGGGAAATAGATGGTCTTATCTATTTGGGTGAGCTTTGAGATTTTTGCACCTTCTCAATTTTTCTCCCTAATTGTGGACATGAATGTAGCAAATAAAGTACTGAAAGGCTTTAATTAATTTCTCAGCAGCACCATATGAAAACTCTTACATGGCATATTTTTGCAGTTATACTTTTCCAGCCAGTTGATACAAAAGGTAAGCAGAACAGTTTTCAGTGGTGTGTGGCAATAACTACTTCTGTTTAAAGGATTACTTTGTTCTTTTGCATAGTGGCTATGAATGGCTTAAAGCCTATAAAAGATGCTGTCAGAGCCCAAATAGGTAACGATTTATTGCCTTTTCTAGTGGGCATAGCTTCAAATAGAAGAGGCATAATGACTACTGCTGCTTAGTCCCTGCGACATATAAACCTGATGCTTACTAGGTTGTGTAATTCTGGCTTGCTGCCAGGAAAGTGGCATTTCAGATGCTGGTCCTTAAGAGCAGGAGTAGTAAACAAAGTGACGATGACTGTCTCCTCTGCTGTCTTAGTCTGTGCTGTTCTAAATGTAGGTTGCAATTAACATTGTATTCCACACAGGGTAAAAGAACTGACCCATGTGTTTGAAAGGCTAAAAACATTTAGGCTGCTTTCTTTTTAAATGAGAGGGAGGGAGGGAGGCAGATATCAGTTAAATGCTGACGTCTCTGAGGAACTTGAGCCTACTTAAAATTGTTGTGTATGTCTCTGTTGAGGCCCTCCAAATATGTTTACTCCACTTACCCCAGGTATGTGCAGATTTATTTCTGATCTTGAGCTCAACATATTAGCTGTTGCAGGTACTTGGCACGTAGCACAATCATCTGCCAAGGATAGAAAAGGAATGTGGTCAGCCAGTCCAATTACTTACAGAATATATGCTCAAGTACAGAGAATCTTAAATATAACCCTGATTTCAGTCCAGATCCAAGCTCTGGAAATCACATGAACACTTTCTTTTTAGCCAAGGGCCTAGACACAAGGTTATGCAGTTGCACTTTATACCATTTTTAGCTCTCTTGAAGCTCACCAGGCTCAGGTAGCCCTCATATTTTCGTTTCTTGTAGCTATGTGTACTGAAAAGGTGAAAACATCTAGCATGCCCGTCTCCATGAGCTAGTACGTTAGGGTGAGGCTTACTTTGGGTTTTATCTGAATCTGCCAGTGTTGTAGTGACTTAAATGTTTCAGCAAATGTTAGTAAGAATAACAACATAAGAACATGGTATCTTCAACCAGCATAAATTGACAGATTTCTGTTGACTTTTATTCAGCTGAGCACTGTACTCTAATTGCAGATCTGACCCACAGACTGCTTTGACTAGGTAAATAAAAATTCTTTTTAGAAGGTGGAATTTGTGTCATTAAGGAAAACCAGCACTGGGAATAGGCAATAGGAAAATTCAATTAAATCATACAAGCCTCTGGTAACTGCATTTTATGGCAGTAGAGATTATTGATTCGAAGATCATCTAATCTTCATGCAAATTTAAATGACTTTAATGTTGGACATTTTTATTCATATAAGGAATATCTAAGTCCTAGCTTGCACGTCCCTTTCTCAGGGTTGAGAAAAACTTTCTTGTTTTATTGAAGTTTGTAAATCTTAAAATATTGTGGACTGTTGTGCAGTGACACGTGAGGGACATGATGGCAGGATAATAATTTCTGGGTAGATAAGCATGCAAAGAGTTTGTTTAGTAGACCCAGAAGAGTCATGAGTCTGTGACTAGGAGATATAGCTGCAATCAACTGAACATGAGCTGTTGGTAGTCGGTAATGGGGATGTCCTCTGGAGTCCTACCAAACTCTTCAGCATTTTTTTTTTCTGTCTATAAGCTGCAGACTTATTGCTGCTCAGAGCTTAGTAATTGCACATGTGGAGAAGATGTTTTATGGTTGGCACACTTCCTTGTTCCTGTCTGTGAATTACACATAACAGGCTGTCTCTGTTAGAGGTTATAGCTATTAGAGCATTTTAAGAGTATTTAACTTTGTGTCTTTATGCAAATGTCTAACTGATTCTATTGCATGTGTGATTTTTGTGCTTCTGTTAATTTATTGTGTTGGTGTATTGTGGAGTTGTTGTAATTGTGGCTTGGAGTGGCTTCAGTGAGCTCCCTGGCCCACAGTCAGTGCTGTGCATGACAGTTTTGACCCCTTTTGAAATGGACAGAAGTCTCTGATGCCCTGCTCACTCTCGCACCTGTTTTGAACTCAGGTTTGTTGTACTATGCTGGCCATGGCTACGAGAACTACGGGAACAGTTTCATGGTCCCTGTTGATGCCCCGAGCCCATACCGCTCGGCCAACTGCCTGTGCGTGCAGAACATCCTGCGGCGGATGCAGGAGAAGCGCACGGGACTCAACGTGTTCCTGCTGGACATGTGTCGCAAAAGGTACCCCCTGCACCCGGGAGCGAGCTGGCCTCTGCTCCCTGGGCTCCCCACAGAACGCTGCGCCTCATGCACATGACAACTCTTTAGGCTGAAGATTCACTGTGCTGCAAAGTCCATGGTTCTGGGGATTCACAGCCCGCACCTGAGTGCTTAAAGCATCGGTGGGATTCACCTATACTTGTGCCCATGGCCTTGGACAGAGATGTGAACCTGGTGGTTAGACTTTGTCCCCATGGGTACATACCTGCTTCCTGATTTCAATGACATTTTTTTCTTTTCTGCTGCTGTTTTTTAGACGTTATAAACAGACTGATCAGATAAAAGTAAAATTTGGCATCTTAAAGAAGAAACAGGACCCTTTCCCCTGGGATTATTATCCATCTTCTTCATTACAGGGAGGAAGGAAAGCCCTGCGATCAAAGGCATGTTAACTTAGCAGAAGGGCTCAAGTGAAGTGCTTATTTTAGAATTCCTGAGAGCCATGGATTTTGCTTCTATACTGAGGATGTTGTATCTTTATTTAGAGGTTAAAAACCAACTGATTTATGGGATTTTTTTTCTACACAAAGTACTGTGTTCTTTCCATGTTGAGATACTACTATGATCAATTAAACTTGCACTTGAAATCAGCTCTTCAGTCAGCACTTCTGGCAATTGGTCTCTGAGGAATGTTTCATAACAGAAAGTTGCTGGCACTTCAGTATCTGTGGAGCCTCCAAACTTCTTTGCTAATGAAATGCCCATGACCCAATTCAGCTTCACAATCTGCTGTCCAGATACAAAATCCATCTACGTAAGCTTTGTACTAACAGCGCCATGTTTGTTTTTTACATTTTAAAAAACATGGCATTTTTGAAATAACCTAAAATGGGTGGATATCAGAACTGTGTTTTGCAGAGATTGCAGCCAGACTCTACTGGTTACTACAGCATGCCCTTCTCTGGGTAATGCCTGGTGCCTATGTCTTTACACTGCCCTCAGGCTGAGTGTTGATGGTGCTGGCTTTTGTATGTGAGCAGTCAGGATTCATTACAGACTTGGAGAAGTGAAACAAATTACTGGTTCTGAACTCTCTCTGTTTTGTGTTTTGATTTTGTTGCCATTATGAGTTCTCAAATTACTATTTTGCTTTCTTGTGTTTCCATTTATTACAGAAATGAATATGATGACACGATTCTTATCTTGGATGCTCTGAAGGTTACAGCCAACATTGTTTTTGGATATGCAACGTAAGGAAGTTATTCTTTTGTGCCACAGAAATGACTGAGATTGTATAGCTGATCTTTTTCAGAATTGTGCTGTGGGCCAGTAACCTTGGTCACTTTTCAAGTGCAAAAACTGCTGAATAGAAATAGTCAGGAGCTTTACTAAAATTGTCAATAAGAAATTTAAACTCCTCATATGAGCAGTTTGATGAACAGGTCTAATCTGTGGTGTCATTTTTAAGAGAAACTTCCATCAGCTGCTTGGAAGGGAACATGAAGAGCAGGTTGGCCTTGGACACAGCCTGGTTTTCAAATTGTAGGGTTTCTTTCCCCATTCCCAGTATAAATGTACTCTTAATCCTGCAGGTTTTTCAGTGTTTTTTCCTTGACCGATGCTGATGATCTCACAGGTGCCAGGGAGCAGAAGCTTACGAAATTCAGCAGCTGGGGTTGGCCAATGGAATCTTCATGAAGTTCCTGAAGGACCGTTTGTTAGAAGACAAGAAGATCACTGTTCTGCTTGATGAGGTTGCAGAAGGTGAACTCCAGCTTACTGCACTAACAGCCTCCTCAGTCTGCATTACTGAAAACAACTTTGCTTCCATGTCTTTCCTCTCATGGTGAATGTGTTACATGAATTAAATCTTGTTGTGCTTTGTTCAGATACCAGGTGCTACTGGGCAGCACATGAACAACATTCCTGATGCTCAACCTCCTTAATAGTGCTCAGTTTTATACTTCCCTCTTCAGTGAACCTTATTTGTTCTGAGTATCTTTCAGCGTGGAGCTTTGAATTGTCCATCCACAAAACTGCTCTTCTGTTGTGTGGTGCCAGCTGCTTGTGGTAGTCCAGTCGTTTGCATGTTCATTTAAACAATTAACATAATCCTACTTGCCTCGGGGTGCTATAGCAATGATAATGATTTGTTCTCTAAGTGCAGTAAAAAGAGCAGTGCACTGTGTGAATTTGCCTGGCTCATTGATTGTATTTTTGATGGGAGAAGCGCTAAAGTGAAAAGTGTGGAGGGAAAGCATACTGCTTCTGTGCAGACACCTGCTCCAAGCACAGAACAGTGTCAAACTGGTGTGTGTAGGTGCAGCAGCCTGGGGCAGCTGCAGGTCGCAGAGCTTTGTGTTCTGTTCAGGAGTGCAGGGAAAGATTGCCTGGTCAGGCAGCATGACAAGCACTGGGAGCATTCCCAGGTGTCAGGTGCCAGGGATTACGCAGGTTCTGTGCTGACAGTGCCAGAGGAATGTTCCCATTAAGTGTTCCATGGAAAAGGCTGTAGCCTGCTGGCTCCGTGGTTCTTGCTGTGCCTGTGCCACAAGAGTGCAGTGCTGGCTCATGGTCAGCTTGGTGACCACTAGCTCCCCAAGCAGGTCCTTTCCTGCAGATCTGTGTCCCAGTGAGTCAGGGCCCTTCATGGGCCTCTGCAAGGGATTTTTCCTGCTTGGGAGCAGAACTTGGTGTTCCCTATTACTGGACTTGATGACATTCCTCTCTGCTCAATTCCACAGCCTGTCCAGGACCCTCCCAAGAGCAGTACAGTCTTGTGGGGGATCAGCCACTCCTCTCGGTTTTTAATCATCTGCAAACTTTCCGAGTTTTGTTCTCTTTCCTGACACATAGGTCATTAGTGATGCTGTTAAATAATCAATATTGGACCCTTGTATCTAAACCTAAAATAGGCCCCTTGCCCCCAGTTCTTTACAATAATCTCCTCCAATGGAATTACTCACATTCTTGAAATTAGCCACTCTAATTAGGACCTTACCCAGTCAGAGCTGTGATGCTGCTTGGACTGGCTCTGAGGAACGGGACAATGTTGGCCAGGCTGCATGCAACCCCTTGGGGCTCTGCAGAGGTGCCTGGCCTTCAGGGAAGGAAGAGCTGAGCAAGGAGTACCTGTAAAACTGTGGCTCTTGATGGATGTGCTGGCTCTGCCATAACTACAGTAACCACACATTGCAGGAAAGTACTTAATTCAGTTGGAATTGCAGCAGCATTGATTTTAAAAGAAGCTCTCTGCATCTTGTTTTTAGATATGGGCAAGTGTCCCCTTACCAAAGGCAAGCAAGCCCTGGAGATCCGCAGCAGCTTGTCAGAGAAAAGGGCATTAACTGATCCTGTTCAGCAAAGCTCATCTTCTGCAGAGTGCCTGGCACGGAACCTGCAGTGGGCCAAGGCTCACGGTACAGTACAGTCTGCTTTCAGATGACCCTGCTGCCGTGATGGGAGGAGGGAGGGCAGGCACTGCTGAGTGCAAATGGAAGAAGTGCAAGGCTATAGCTACGTTTTCATTACTATGTTCCTTTGGAAGTTTTTGGGTTGGGGCTTACCCTTACATGAGATAGTAATGAACAAGATGACATGTAGAATTCATGTATATTCAGTATATTTAAGACCACTCAGACCCTGGAGGGGAGACTTAGGGGTTGTCTGTCTCCTGGGACAGTCTCCCAGAACTGCTTGTCTAGCAGTGACATTTGTAAGATGTCACTGATCGCATTCTAAAGTCAACACCTAAAATAGCCAGGTGAACTGTATAGTAAATGTGCATGATGAAAAGAACTTTCCAATGCAGACAACTAAGAAAACTAAAATAAGACTGAGATGAGTTCCAGGTTTCCTAGCCTTTTAAGAAGGCCAGTGGGGCTTAAGACCTGTTTTTACCTTTTTCACCTAAACCTGTTGGAGTGCATCTTCAAATTTCTTTAACCGTTGGGGCAGAGGGTCAGGGATGGCATTTCTAAGACCACTTGTCATATAGGAAGGCTCTCTCAGAGATGCAGTTGTTTATTTGAGCCCAAGCACTTAATTCTTGTTTGTTAAATGATTGAAAAAGAAAAATGCATATGCTAAATTTATATTTAGACTGTAACAATGTGTTATTTATTGGCAGAGCTTCCAGAAAGTATGTCCCTTGAATTCCAGTGTGGTGTTCAGATTCAGTTGGGGTTTGCAGCAGAGTTCTCCAATATCATGATAATCTATACACAGATAATTAAGAAGCCCCCTGAAATCACAGCTTGCAGAGCCCACATCACAGACTTCCCACTTGTAAGTGCTTCCTGCTGCTGTCTCAAGATCTCGCTCCACTGAAGTTGAAAATTTTCTGCTCCACCCATATCAAGTTGCATCTTGTATAATAAAATGGGTCTAAAGTGCTTTAACTTATCAAACTGAAAGAAATACTCTTTTATGATCTATAAATTCTATATCATCAATTAAGGTTTTTTTTTTCTTAGGACTTGGATGTAGATCCTAAAGAGGCCAATAAAGGAACTCCTGAGGAAACTGGAAGCTATTTAGTATCAAAGGATCTTCCCAAACACTGCCTCTACACCAGGCTGAGTTCACTGCAAAAGCTAAGGGTTAGTATATACTGTTCATTACAAGTTTGCCCAGATAATTGACACTATTTATGTTGCTTTGCAGTTCTGTTGAGGCAGCTGTGTATTGTTACTGTGGTAAGTTCTTTGGAGGGAAAGAATGGGTAATAACGCAATTCAGTGACTTTAATTTCAGCTGAAAAGTAAAAGGCAGGGAATTGATGCATATGCAATCCTGAAACCAGTGTGCAAGGCCCTTTGTATTTTCCAGGCCCATGCTGAACTTGGCCAAGATGGTTATTTTTGTGCAGATCACCTATTGCATGCTCTGAGGATGTTCCTGTGCTTTTTAGGAGGAACATGTCCTGAAGCAGAGCTGCCTCTTACACAGTCGTTAGTAGGAGATGAAAGTGTTGTGTATCATGTGTTGTGTTGTGCTCCTGGGCACACAGTTTTTGAAAGGTTCTCTTCAGACTGGGGCACTGCTAAGTGTCTGTATGTTTGTGTCCTGAACATCTGTGCCAGACACAGCCTGGCATCTCTTCTTCAGGGCTTTTGGCAGTTGAGGTAACACAAGTGCAGACTGTTCAGTGAAGAAGCAGTGGCCAAAAGAGGACCTCAGGAAACAAGGCCTGCCCATTGTGTCCCTAGCTCCTAAAGAGGTCACTCTGCTTCTCCTGGAGGCTGGACCCTCCCTAAGTGTTTCCTGTAGTGTTTATTTGCAGAGTATAAGTATATATATATATATAAGTATAGCTTTTTCTCTCCCCTTCTTTCTGTTTTTACAGGAACATTTAATCTTCACTGTTTGCTTGCACTATGAGTATTCAGGAATAGAAGATTCAATGGACGAAAGAAAGGAGATTAATGTTGGGAAGCCCCTTATTGCTAAATTAGGGCTTCACCCTGGATTCAAACCCAAGAACTGTCTCCAGACATGTTGCATGCCTGGTTATCCTTTTCATAATCCAGTGGAATCGAGTCCAGAGGCAGCTGAATACTACATCCCTAGTCATTGCCAACCCAGTTCCTCTCCAAGTGTTTACCATCCACACTGTGCTTGCTCAAACAGCATCACACATCCAGAGGCATGTTCCTGCAATGGAACTGCCAGGATGTTGGCTCCAAGACACGAAGTACAGCATTACTCACCCACTGTGGAAAAGCAGAATGTACCAGTAGAGACCACTGATGATACTGTTGAACTGGAATTCTTCCTCTCTGACAGCCTGAGCCTCTCTGAGCAGCAATAGCTGGGATGTGTTTGGAAAGACCAGAGTGGCATCCTTGAACAGAGGGGCTTCCACACTGCCTCTCCATCTTCTGGTGTTTGGAGACTTCTGGACAAGGCCCTTGGAGAGTCTAGAGTAGGTGCTGTGAATGAGATTGTGGTGAAAATTTTTAATACCTTAAGAGACAAAACTGGACCAATAGATTTAGGAATGAAAAATGCATTCCTTTTAATTTTTTTTCACCTACTATTTATTGTTTGGTACAGAGAAAAATCTGAACTGCTCCAAGTTTCCTATGCTGTTCTTTGGCCGTCGTGTGTTAGGATTGCTCACGGATGTTCCAGTGCCTGGGATGTGGCCAGAAAGCAGCTCTGACTGCATTCCCCCTCTCTGATTGCCACATGTCCAGTGTCTGGCAGCATCTGAGAGGGCTAAGATCTGTACAAGGAACCCAAAACCTGAAGAGCCAACAAATTGACATCACTTTTGATTTTAAGAGAACCTTTGATTATCAGAGGAAGCAAAGTCACAGAATCATACTGTGGTGGATTGTTTCTATTTTGATTTTTCTTTTACATAACACTCTTAAGGTTTTTGCTGATCTGATACCTGATTCTTCATGTTCTGGAAGAACACTAACTGGAAAGATGAGGGCAAGTGCCTGCTCAGCAAGCAAGGTATTGTATGGTCAGTCTCACAGACGTGCTGAGGGCTAAAACAAGAATCACGAGAAAAGTGATGTTTATTAGGTCATTGAAAGTCTTGAAAAAGCAAAAAATATTGGGGTGTAAGGAAACTAAAATCAAAGGGAGTTTTCAGACAGGGGTAGTAGCCTTTCCTGTACTGGTAATAGTGAGAGGAAGAATTGCTTTCATTAAGATCATCATCATAAAAACAAGATAAGTGAATGCTATTGAGGCAGACTAGCCAGTTTCAATCTGCAGTGGAGAGTGCTGCGATCTGGTGGCCTGGCAATGTCCTGGTGTGGCCATAAAACTTTTGAGATGGGAATGTTAATGTTTCTTTAACTAAATCTGGTGATCTTTAGGTTGCTCTGTGCTGAAAGGTGGATATAGGTACATGGATATAGCTATTTCCAGGATGACAGCCATGCTTGAAGTAATCTGTACATGAGCTTGAATTTCTGTTTTCCTTCTGCAGGATGTTAAGTGGCATCATACCTATTAATGAATGAGATCTACCTGCATTAACTATTCTGTGCAGTTGACTTCTAAATCAGATTGTAGCTTGAGACATGCTCCAGGAGTGTGCTACTTAGTTAATACTTTGTCAGTTTCCTAATTTGTATAAAAGCTTGTTATTTTTTCTTACTGGGTAATAAATTGTTGTCCATAAAATTATGTACTATGTGCATATGTAGTTGCTACATTCTTCTACACCTTCCAGCCTTAACGAGACCAAAACTTCATTGAAACAAAACATGTGAAGAAAGATTTTCCTTAACAGAAAAGGGGAAATCTGAATCATGAGCTTCAGCTCAAGATATACAGATCTGGGCCTGGGCTGATAGCCTTGCTCCTCGAAGCTCAACCCTTGCCTCTTGAGAGGTGCAAAGGTGTTTGATCTTTAATAGGTACCCTTGGACATATTTGTATATGCATTATGTACTTGTGTGTGTGTGAATTGGTTTAAATCCTCTCTGGGCAGCATAGTATGGATATTGCCATCTTAGATCTAGAATTAAATTCCTGCTGCGCTTATAGGAATCGAATCATTTCACAAATGTTAAATAGTCAGCAGTTAGGTGGTGCCAAATTCTTCAGGCATAAACCCCTGCCCAGCTCTGAGCCCTGTGACTCAGCAGCTGGGCCTCTCTTAGCCTTTGGCATTCGTGGTGCCTGTGTAAATCATTCTACATTGATTCTAGACAGATTTTCCTCCGTGTGCATCATCCATGTAGCAGTTACCAGAGTGAGCCCTGCCATTCAACCTCATCACCCTTTTGCACACTTATATTAAACTTGCTTTTGCTAATACCTTTAACAGAGTTCTCTGAGTGACCTAAATCACTCAGACTTGTCCAAATTGTATGACAAAAGTCTGCCTGTGGCAGTAGAGTGTGTAGAGGAAAACTTTATCTTTCTGAACCCTCTTTAAAAAGAGAATGGTGATGGAAAGGCATTTTCTCACTGCAGCACTGTCTTTAGGAAGTGCTCTAACTGTTTTAATTATTAGTGTTTAGAATGAAATACTCTGGTTCTTCAGTGCAAGCAGCACTCATGTCCTTTGGCCTAGGTCCAGGAAAGCACTTTAAAAGTTCAATGGGTTAAATTAACATTCCAGTCTAAGTGAAATTGGTGGGATTAAAAGACATGCCTAAACCTAGGTAGTTGTTACCGCTCTTTGACTTCTGGTACGCTTTCTAAATCAAAGCTTCAGGGGTTTGTTTTTTCCCTACAGTGCAGTTATTTGCAGATAATTATTTTCTGCTGAAGTATCTGGTAGGCTAAATTACTTTGCCCTCTGCTGTAGCATTGCTGTATGGTTTTGTGTAACTGAAGTGTTTGTTGCCTGGGTTTGGATGTTGAATACGTTAAGAAGGAAGGTTTAAGGTAATCTATGTAAACTCAGGCTTCTCTGGCAAAAGAAGGGTTCATGTGCTTCAGAAAGGCCTCTGGCTCACAAGACCATCTCTGCACCATGGAACTCTTCAGCAGATCTCAGGCTGGCGTTGCTGTCTCTGTAGTTACTGCCTTGGTTCATGCATCAACTACTTTTCCTCATTCTGTCAGCTAATTAGTAACTTTGGCAGCTTTCACATGCAGTAAGCTCCTGGGCTATGTTCACCTTGACATAGATTCCTCAGTGCTGTAATGTGGATATGTTTCAGTATTATTTCTTCCTTGCACAGAATTTTAGTTCAGGTACAGTAAGATCTGCTCACATTTTAGAGTGCAGCATTCTGAGCTCCAAGGTTTTTGCTGGGAATTGGAGATAGGTTTAAAGTATCAGGTGGAGGAGAGCAGGTTGGGAATCTGGTTTGTTGGGTTTTTTTAAAAGATTGATCATTTAGTAATTGCAGTAGTCAAGGAATGTAGTGGGGACGCTTCTGTGTTGTGGCATTCAGGCAGTTAGTAATTTCTAAGATATGGCTGCAGCAATTTAGTCATAGCAGGCTTATTTTAAGAGCTAATGAGAAGTGCTGTGTCCCATGCTTGTTGCTGCAGGCGGTGAGCAGGATCCCTGTGGGGGTGTGTTACCACAGCGACAGCCTCCACATCTGCAGCGTGTGTGGGAGGGAGCCCCCAGCCTCCCCCTCTGCCCTGCAGACGGAATCTGCTGGCACCCTGCTCCCAGCCTTCACAGCCACTTGCAGGCAGGATGAAGAGGCTTCAACCTGTTGTGCAAATTACTTCACTACACATACGATAAAGCAGCTCTCAGATGCTTCCTGGGCTCTCTGATGACTTAACATGGTGGTTATGATTTATTTCATCTCTCTAAACATGCGCCAGCTCTGCTTTCCACCATCCTGTAAGAAGAGGGATTGACTGTGCGTGGCAGGACAGGCTCCCCGAATACTCTAAGTTGGAGGGACCTACAAGGATCACGGATCCAGCTCCTTGCTGTGCACAAGGCTGTTCCCAAGAGTCACACCCTGTGCCTGAGAGCATTGTCCAAACGCTCCTGGGGCTCTGGCAGCGTTGGGGCTGTGATCGTTCCCTGGGGAGCCTGGTCAGTGTCCTACCACCCTCTGGGAGAAGAACCTTTTCCTAATATCTAACCTAAACCTCCCCTGCCATTCCCTTGGGTCCTGTCAACAGTCACCACAAAGAAGATATCAATGCCTACAGAGGTAAGCACCTTTTCTGTGGGTTACCATCAGGCAGCCTGTCAGCAATTGCTCAGATTATTCCCCTCTGAAAGCTGTTTTTCAGAGCTGTAGGTGTTTAAAGCAGTCCCAGGAGTCTTCTCTGTTCACATCCTGTCTTCTTTGTGCCTACCTGCTCTTTTCCTCTCTTTCCTCTTCTGCTGAATGCCAGCAGTATGCATGAGACTTGCCTTGCAGGACCGGGATTGGTCCAGAAATTTTTCAGGACTGCTTTGAGATATTCATAACATACCAAATCTGGTATTTTTTTGGTCTGTAAGAAGCATAACAGTCTTTTAAGAAGCTACAGAGTCACTACAAAACACTAGTTTGCTGATTCTCAAAGCTTTGTAGCTTTGTTTCATGCCTGCCTCAGGGATATGCAGAAAATTGCTGCAGATTCTGGTTCAGTGTTGCAGCTGCAAGAAAACACATTTTTGTAACACCCATTGGATTACTAACCCTTATTTTAGTGGAAATAGTGGGTTTATTTGAATCAGAAAATAGCTGTGCTTCATGACAAGCTGTTTACCCGTGCTGGCAGGTGGAGAACTGCAGCTGTTTGCACCTCACTGCATCCCAGCACATGAATCAGAGGTGGGACTCATTACCACTGCAGAGCCTCCCTGCTGGTTCCTCTCTTGCTGTCTGCACTGGGATAATCCAGGTTTTGACAAGAGTACAACATGATTTCCTGGGGTGGGATACACAAGGAGCAAGCCACTTGCCAGCTGGAGTGAGTTTTACTTGGAATGAGGTGTTCTACCCTCCACTCTGGTGTTGCCTTGCCATCAGCATCTTTCTGCCTTTTCTGATCTGATGAGAAGAGCCACATGCCCAGCAGGCCCTTAGTACCCTGCATGTGCTGGGACACCTCTACACCTCCCATCATCCTGTTCTATAAAACAATCCATGGGAACTCCTCATCTCTGCTGCTGGCAATCCAATAATCCCTTCTTTTCTTTATAAGCTCCGATAAACAAAAACCTTTTTTTGTTGTTGTTTTGTGGAAACTGTAGGTTTCCACAACTGGAAAAGCTCTGTCTGATATCCTGCAACAATTCTTAACAGAATATGATAGTAAAGAAGGATTAGACCCAGGTTTGTTACTTAAAGGTTTCCAAGATAAATAACTGCCCTTTCTCAAGTAGTTTTGTTTACAGTTATTTTCCTTTTAGACTAATTAGTT